TTCTATATATGAACCCCAAAAAGGAACTACTTTGGGGCCTCAGGGTAAGCCCTTGGGCTTCTTTATAAGGGGATTTATATGGGATATCCCTATCCTAATTTGAAACGCTTCGCGTCGTCCGCCTCGGCCCGGCTTTTCGCGCATGCGGCGACTGGCTACCATCCGGCGCAGCAGGAAGCTCTTGTACGAAAATAACAACAGTTGGAATCGCACTTGTATTAATTGTAGGGCAGGGCAAAGCAGGGCAGAGCAGCGTAAGGCAGAGGGCTTGTCTCAAGAAGCCAGCAAGAGGTTGATGTAACCATTGTAGCATCTCCGCGTTCTGTGCCTGATATTCGACATAGCCCCTAGCTGGCGATAGCGATGCTTGAATCTCCGATGCTATGAGAAGGTTAGGTCGTGGAGCCGCGTGCTGTGCTACGCTATTTCCGAACTTTGCCTGGAGGGGGGCAGGGGGGAGCGTGGGGGGAGCGTGGGGGGGGCGGGGGGGGGGCAGGGGGGGGGCAGGGGGAGGGGACGTTTCCATTTCTAAAAAGAGGGTCCAGCGGCCCCCGTTTTGGGGGTGGGGTCACTGGGGAGGGGACTAACAGGTGGGGAATAGAGGGAATCCGAATAGGAACCTCTGGCCGCTTCGGCCGAGGCGAATTTTTGCTTATGTGCTTTTTTTGGGGCTAAGCCCTAAACCCTAAACCCTAAACCTCTAAACCCTAAACCCTAAACCTCTAAACCCTAAACCCTCAACCTCTAAACCCTCAACCTCTAAACCCTAAACCTCTAAACACTAAACCCTAAACCTCTAAACCCTAAACCTCTAAACCTCTAAACCTTAAACCCTAAACCTCTAAACCCTAAACCCTAAACCCTAAACCTCTAAACCCCTATAAACCCTAAACCCCGAAACCCTAAGCTCGAAACCCGAAGCCCTAGTACAGGAATTCTGGCTGTGCTGCAGTTCGAAAAGGGCCCATACAAAAAAAAAACCGAAGCCCTAAGCTCGAGACCCGCAACCCTGCGGGCCGACCTCGGGAGGCACAGCTATGGCCAAGTCGAAGAACCACACCGGCCACAACCAGATCTACAAGCTCCTCCGACATCTATTTAGTTTTTAGGGGTTTAGGGTTTAGGGTTTTAGGGTTTGGGGTTTAGGGGTATATAGTGTATAATATAAATATGTATAACATAGTATATAAGTACATAGTTCATAGTACACCTGGTGTAGAAAATATGCAGAGTTTAGCACATTGCAGTACATAGGTTTTGTGCTTTAGGCTTTGAGTCTTGAGGGCGTTGGCTCTCAGGTTTTAGGGTCCTAAAGGTTTTCGATAGAAGCGTCATAGGGGTCTTTGATAGCTTTTTGGTTCAGGCTATCAGTTGTCTGCAGCTTTTTAAGCTTTTCTCACGAAAGCAAGACCAATGCAAAATGTCACGAATGAGGGTAATTAGGAAGAATAAGGAAACAACGCCGTCCAATTATCCCAACAGGCCAATACCCAAGGCACCAGCAACAAGACACACAAAAAACAGACCAAAAGTGCCAAAACAAAACACACACACACACACACACACACATAGGCACACAAACGAAAGTACCAAAAACGCAATGCTCACAAAGTCTTGGCCCGGAGTCGTGGAACAATTACGTCATTTCCTGAAGACCTCCAGAAACTATGTGCTATTCCATGTTCCTGTTCGCTTTTTAGTTTTTTGTTTTTGGGTTCGGGTTGTTGGCAGTCCTGGCTTGATTGAGTGTTGCTGGATGTTTGTGAGTTGATGTTGCTGAAATGGTTGCGGTCATAAAATGGGCGTTCGTTCGAACGGTGTCCAGCCCAATGCCATCGTCGTGTGATTACCGCCCAGTTTTCTGCAAACTGCCTGCAAACAGCCACTCCGAATACTCCCGACCAGCACGCACATCTATGGTAAACTCACGACTGTTCAATCCTTCCGTGCATCAGAGTGGCAACATGAATGAATGTGCGAGCGAACCGGGTCAATTTAGTTGAAATAGTTGGATCACCCCAGTGACATGCAAATGGGCCATAGAATACAGTATGTTGAGTCGGTACCGCCTGAAAGCCAGGAGCGATCAAAACTGAAGCCTGAAATACAGTGAATCGTGAACTTTGTTTTGCGCTGGCCAGGGTAGGAATTGACGATGCAAACGTATAGTTCGATTATCACCGGCACGAAAACGAGCAGAATAGCCCTGAGAGTTGGGTCTTATGAAGTTTAAACCCTAAGCCCTAAACCCCTAAACCCCCTGAACCCCTAGCCTCGTAAACCCTAAACCCCTAAACCCCTAAACCCTAAGCCAATGAAACAGCTCGAGCTCTCGCTGAAATCACACAGTGCAGCCAGGCAGGCACAAAAACCCATGCCCTCAATCCAAGCAGCAGCATGTTTAGGGTTTAGGGAAGTCTCTCGAAAATGCTGTAGTTGAAGAAACTGCTGCAACTACTTTGTCGGATCAAGTTCTTCAAAATCTCGTGTGAATAAATACCTCATCTGAAGTGGCGAAATGAGAAAAGATAGTTTACTTGGCTAGAGATGGCTGCGCTTTTCGTTCATGTATACGTTGTTGGGAAAGTTGCTTGCTTTGTCAGCGATGCGGCTATGACTGGTTACATCGTATCAGTCCTGAAATCCTATCTAGTAGTTTAGTAGCTGTACTGAGTTGGTCGAAGCTGACGTGTTCTTCGACCCGGCATCTAAACTTAGCAGTTGTAAAAGATGTCAGGAGGCCTGACTGTCTGTATCCAAGTACGTGTGTACGTATATGCTGTTACATATGTTTACCAACGCACTGATTTCGACTGAAGTTGGGCAAGATGAATCTCTGCATCATCACTACTACATAGCGTGGTTAGTATGGTAGTTTTGGTAAGAGAAATCATCAAGCTTTTCCGGCTCAGTTCAAGTGAGAGCAGGATGAGCGGTGCACAAATAATCCCTGTTTTGATTTGTCTGTAAAGTAGAAGCCAGAAAGTTGGAATATCATTATCGTAACCCCTTTAAGGTAAATTATAGGGGATCCCACCATTAATCCATATTCCAACTTTCTGGAGTTCCCTGTAGATCCTTGCGACACGAAAAAAATCAAGATAGCAAATGCACGAAAAGCAAAGCGGGCGACTCGTAGATTAAAGTCTGGTTTTTGTAGGGCTTGCTAGATCTACTGGGTGATTGGGATGTTTAGGGTTGGAGGGGCTTTTGATTGCTGGGTTTATGGCCGGCGTGCATTCGGGGGTCTCGGTGCAACGTGCAGTGTTTGCGAGTTGTGGTGTAGCTGTGCAGGCTTTCGTCGGCTGTGATGGAGGCGTTCAACTTGTCAAGCACAGTCATTTAGGTTGTCGGGCTCCAACTTCCCCTAATCCCTAAGCCCTAAACCCTGAACGCTAAGCCCTAAACTGTAAACCGTAAGCCCTAAATCCTAAACCGGTGGACTAGCCAGCCAAGGAACCATCGCAATGGCATCAAGAAGACCCGCAGGCGGACAGGGATCTTGTCTTTCTTCTCAAATAGGGTTCCTTTAATGGCTCCTTTACGGGTTCCTTTAAGGGTACCATAAGGCTGCTACTTAGGGTTTTCTTATGGTGAACCCCAGAAAGTTGGAACATGGGTTTAGGATAATTACTGCTAGGATTTCTTATACTTTAATTTACCTTTCAGGGCAGGGGTTAGTGATGTGCCAACTTTCTGGCTTCTTCTTTGAGGTTTTGGGAATCTGCCAGACTAAGACCTTTTGAGGTGGTTCCTCGCGTTGGGTCGTCAGGCTAACACTACTGTAAGGGTTCCAGGAACTTTCTGCTTTCCTGTCACCAAGAGTTTAGGGTTTGGGGTTTAGGAATTTCTTTTATGCCGAAGACATAATTACAGGGGCCTTGATAATCAGAATAGGGTTGAATAGGGGTTTTGGGCCCCATTACACTCTAAGTGATTATAAGGAATCCCCCAAATAGTACTGGTAATTGTTAAAGCCCCTATACTCTAAACCCTATATTACCCGGATGTAGAAGCTGCCCTGGGCTGGCCTCAAGCAGAAGGGCAGCCTTTAGGTGTGGCAAGACCTCCCGCGCCGGTCGGCTTCCGACAGCACGGGATGGCCTGGGGCATGTTGGTAGTGGCTTTGGGAGCTCGCCTCCTCTCTTCGGCCTTTGCTTGCTCCTCCTTCGAGTTAAACACCAGCCACGGCTTCAAGGTCCTTGGTCACACCATGGAGTATGGCAAGCTCATGAATTCCCCGAACTGGGTGCTCTTTACGACACCGAGGAAGAGCGAAGTGTTTCTGAACACTGTGTCCACAGTCAAGGCGTGGGCCGTACCTCCCAGAGGAACCGCGAGCCCCAACCCTGAACCCTCGGAACCCTGGCAGTAGTGCAGCCCGCCAGGCAAAGTTTGGGGTCCTGGGAATTGGCATCCAGCCGAATTATGCTGATGGTATGAACGAGGAAGGGCTGACGATTAATCTGCAGTCGCTATATCGCAGTGAATATCAGAAATGCGACGTCTCCTCGAACCTAGTTCCATGTTTGATAAAGATTTTACCAGTTTGCCTGAACTCAGTGCAATAACAGTTCAATCAGTACTTTGGTGTTCAGCCATACCCCGGCGATGACCCAGGAGAAAATACACCACCATCTTCACCCAGAACCTTGCGACATGGATCTTGACTTCTTTCTCAACAGTCGATCAGGTCAAGAAAGCACTTAATTACCGGCAAGAGGTATTGCGTCATGAACAATAACACCGATACAAACAGCAACACGCACTGGGCTATTTCTGACAAGGACGGTGGCTCGATTGTCTTGGAATATGAACGCGGGGAGCCAAAGGTTCACAATAACTATGTGGGCCTTATGACCAACGACCCTTTCTACCCCTGGCATGTTGACAACCTGAATCTGGGCTTTGGAGTACCATCCTTTAATATTTTTTCTTAAAGGAACCATCATGAAATAGAAGTTTATACTTTTTTTCCCTGGTTACTTAAAACAGCCCAGGAATACCTACCGGTGGATCTTGCCAGACGAGGGCGACAACAAGGAGCTTCTCCTACCAACTGGAGAGCTCTTGGCAGGTCAGGGTCAGGTGCCCTGGGACCAGGGTCATGGCTTCAACACCGGCGGCTTACCGGCAGATGCCTCGCCGCCGTCGCGCTTCGTGAGGATGTTCTTCACCAGGCAAATTTCCCAGGCTCGTTCTGGATGGTCCGAAGTATCACAGGGCTCTCTGTGGTTCTTGCCCACATCAATCTTTTGTCTGAGGGTTGGAGGTGTCGAACAAGTCCTTGAGGAATAGATGTTTAGAACCTGGACTCTGAGGTCAATTCTCGTCCAGATACCCTCGACGATTGGATGAAGTTGGCTCAAGGAATTCTCAACGACATCTTCATCACAAAAGGTTTTACTGCACCGAACCCCAACGGCCCGGTTATTCTCGAAAGTGACCACACATCTTGGGCGACCATACGCGTACCCAAGACCGGCTTCTACGCCTATCGCACCTACGGAAACATGCAGTGGCAGAAGCTGGGTTCTTGTTAAAGGATGCATTTTAAGTTACCATAACGAAAACCCACATTATTTACTCAAACTTACTCTAGATCCCGATTATGGTAACTGAAACCTTAAGCCCTAAGCCCTTCAAGGGACCCTTCTAGATCCATATTATGATAACATTAATTAAGTTCTTTGACAGGAAGGTGGACACAACGAAGTTGGACTGGACCCGACAGAAGACGCTTCCCACCTCGAACAACTTCCAAGCAAGCTTGAAGGACATCACTTAGTGGCTGGGCTTGCATTGTGTGGGGTTTAGGGTTTAGGGCTTAGGGGGTTTAGGGTTTAGGGTCTTGAAGCAGCTTTTCCATCCGCATGAAGGATTATCCTTCAAACTTGCAACAAGAAGTAAGATGATCGTTCGTGCACTTGATATATATATATATATATATATATATATGGACCTCACACTCGCTTTGCAGTTCGCTTCCGACAATTATCGACTCCACCGGTCAGAACTTTCTTTCCGTGAAGCGACATCAAGACCAGCTTGAGGATGCTGTGCATCTTGGCATGTAGCATCCTGGTGTTGTTCTCGGTTTAGTTCCTTTTGTCTTCAACCAGCTTAGAATCTTAAAACTTGTAGCATTCACGGTTCCAGCGCCACCTAACCCGAAGCATGCATTCATTAGCTGTATAATTCCTATAGCTCGAAGCGTGCTGTAGCAGCTGGGAGTCTGGTAAGTAGCCTGGCGGCCACTGTTGCGCTGTTGAACCCTTTCTCGAGGATGCTACGATTCAGACCTCTCTGAGCCTCTGCGTCTAAATGATGCCAAAACCGTACTGCCAAACCTCAACTCCGAATCTAAGCAAGCACACCGCCAAACCCGCCTCCCCCAAGAAACTGACCCTAAACCTTAATTAAACCCTAAACCCTAAACCCTAAATCGCAGGCTCTTGCAGAACCCAGCCCAAGAGCTCTGAACTGAACGCGGGTGCGCTCGATGTTTTACCGGCCGAGCCCGCAGTCTGAGGAAGACGCAATGACACCAACATAAGTGGGTATGTTTTCTGTATACGTGTACACTGTACAATGACTACAACCAACGGCCCTCCCCAACGAACTCAGTCTGCGTTTGATTTTTAATTGGCCTCTACATCTTTGGCTAAGTCCTTGAGCCTTTTGTGAACACAGCTGCCTTCGGCAAAATGTGGAGAGCTGGCACTGACTTTTGCAGCTACTTAATCTTTTGACTAAAGCCGTTTACTGACAGCCGATTTTGCGACCAGCCCAGCGCAGCTTTCTACCCAGTTGCCGGGACATAGCATCTCGCAGGAGAAACTGTCCTGCGAGGCTGTTGCTGCTCTGGCAGACCCAAAACCCTAAACCCTAAACCCCTAAAGCCGTAAGCTGGCAGCACAGGTTTCTTTCATGTCTTTGCCGTTTCAATCTGCGTTCTGGCCTTTCTTGGAGTAGTTCCGTCTGTCCTGGAGGAGGACAAGATGAAAGCCGCCTAGTGATAGTGTCTACAGGCCCTCCAAGAACATTCCGGAACATCGATCGTTTACCGACGGGATCCACCTCCACGCCCCGGTAGCATCACTGCTCAAAGACGGGGGCATCAGGAATGAAGGTGGAATCCCAAGTTGATGACCAGGGAAAAGTGGGGCGGGCTTGTGTGGGTACGCGCGCACGCATGCGTAAGGATCCCGATTGTGCTCATTGACTTTTTGCAGGATTTCCAAGTTCTCAACGCTTGAAGCCACACTAAAACTTAGGGGTACTTAGAAATAATTTTCAATTTTTGGTTACTATAATCCCTAAGAAACAGCTAAAATTACATTTTTGGCTAGGGTTCTAAGTTCAGTATAGAAAACTTAGGACTGCAGCCCATGAAGTCTTAAGGCCCAACTCCTAACCTTTGTATTTTTTAACTCCAAACCTTGAAACAATGGAGCCTCAAATCCCTCGCTCTAAAGTCTTGTTCACGCCCCTATACACACACACACCCTGCCCCCCGAAACAATTCGATTCTAAATTTTACAGCCTGCGAACATGCCCTAAAATTGCCTTAAATACCCTAACCGCAAACCCTAATCCCCAAACCCTGAACCCCAAACCCGAAACCCGAAACCCTACACCCCAAACCCTAAACCCTAAACACACAGAAGCGCCAGGCCTCGCAAGATGTCCATGCGCGGCATGAACTGCCGCTTCGTGCGGAACCAGGCGGTCGTTCCGGAGGGGGTCTATAGGGTTCAGGGGTTTAGGATTTAGGGTTCAGGGGTTTAGGATTAGGTTTCGGGGGGTTCAGGGGATTCGGGTTTAGGATTTAGGGTTTAGGGGCTTATAAGGGTTTAGGATTTAGGGTTCAGGGGTTTCGGGTTTAGGATTTAGGGTTCAGGGGTTTCGGGTTTAGGATTTATATGGTTCAGAGGTTTAGGGTTTAGCATTTAGGGTTCAGGGGTTACGGGTTTCGGTTTTAGGATTCAGGGTTCAGGGTTCAGGGGTTTAGGTGGTTCGGGTTCAGGGGTTTCGGGTTTAGGATTTCTTTCTTCGGAATGTAGGGTTGTGGAGATTGTATAGGGTTCAGGTCCAGAGTTTGGGGCAAGGTCCGGAGTGCTGGGCGGCTTTTGCGCGGGTTCGGGACGGGTCCCCGCCCAAACAAAGCTGATTCTGGACTCTTCGTTTGTGTGTCTCTACGCGCCGCCCGCGCAGGTGCGCTTCCGGTTGTCGTTTTGGTCTTTCTACGCTGTACATCAGACATTGCGGCAGTGCGGTGCAAAAGCATTACGACGACACAATTCCGGAAAGACAATCAGGGAAAACAAAAGTCTTTGCAAAACTCCAAAGGAAAGATGCACACGTCAGAGCATAGAATTTCCATTCATCCTGGACTTGGGAGTTAGGGTTTCTATACCAATAAAAAAAATATATATATATATATACAGATTTATTTATTCTTTAATCTATTGGTCTATTTAATGTATGGACTATATTAATTTCACAATGTATCTAATTAATAATGTTCTGAAACTTGTTGGTGGTTTCTGGGAGCCCTGTGCAGTATATCTCGGGTTCTTTTGATGCGCAAATCTCAGAACCCAGACCCCCAGCCCAAAGCCCTGAGCCCTAAACGAAAAGAGCCCTCAAAAAAAAAAAAAAAAAACAACACTTTACTCGCAAGCCTTCCCTAAAAAGCCCGTGGTATATGTTTGGTTTAATACAGGGGCCTAAATAATTACCAACACTATTTTGGGGGTTCCTTGTTATACTTATGGTACAGTGGGCCCCAGAACCCCATTCTGAAAAATAAGGCCCCTATATTATGCACTTTAGAGCCAAAGTATATGATGTCGGCACGTTGACAAGAAGGCGCGTCGGCCTACAATCAACGGTCCATACGGCGTCTGAAGGGGTTCTTGTGTTTGAACAAAATTGTGGGGAGTTTCATTAAACCTTAAGCTCTAAACCCCAAACCCCTAAGCCCCAAACGCTAAACTGCTATCCTGCAGCAGGCATTCGCAAAGCGCGGCATGAAGTGCACACCGGAAGAGAAGGATGGGTTGCGGTTCAGGATTTGCGCCTAAGTTTCAGAGGCTTGAGCCGGCTTGGGTTTGAGATTGATGAGTCCGATTGGTGGTGGCTGTAGACCATGCCTGGTGGTGATAGACCACATGGAGCAGACCCGCGCACCCTAAAACATAACACCCATATTTTACTTGCTCTCGCGGAAAACAATACAATTGAGGCAACCGTTTAAAAGAACCTTAAACTTGGCTCTTGCTGTCGGCTGCAGGTGTGTTGTTTAACCTGAGCGCTTATGTAGCGACACTATGCCGCGCCAGAATTCTCATAAGTACAGTGCATACGACACTAGTGAAACCAAAGCCCTCAAGCCTCAAACCCAAACCCGTTGAGCCCCAAACCCCAAAACCTACCTTAAAGCCTAATATGTAATTTATCGGGACCCTACAAAAAAGGTAGTTTTGGTAAGTTAAAACCCTAAACCCTAAACCCCTAAACCCTAAACCCTGTTAAGGTAAACCTCGGAGTTGCCAAACCCAGAGCCGAAATCCCAACGCGGTCCCTCGACAGCTTTCCAAAAATTAGGGGTACCTTTAAAAGGATCTATAAGGGTTCCTTAAAGGGATCTATAAGGGTTCTATAAAGGGTTTAGGGTTTAGAGTTTCCCAAAATAGAGGTTACCTTCTTTTATTTTGGGGTCCTTATAATAAGGATCCCACTATTTAGGGTACTATATTAGGGTCCCCTGTTTTCGGAAACTCCCAAATGCTTGGTTCGAAGGCTTCACCCTCGTTAAACCGAAAGCCCTAAACCCCTGAAGCGGCTTCACAAACGGGTAGTAACATATTGGGCCAATAACCCCAAAATAGTAGGATTCATATAAGGAACCCTAATAAAGGAACCCTAATAAAGGCCCAAGGTTTCTTCATCAGGTTCTTACATTACACCCCGAAACCCTATGAGTTTAGAGTATGACAAAATGATCAAGACCATCAGCGGCGGCATGTTAGCTAACGTCTGACCTCCCAAATGCAGTCAGCTAAACCCTAAACTTTAAAGGGGCACACGACCTCCAACCTTGATCGCACAGACTCCCGTCAGATTACGCCCCACAAACACTACTAAGGCCCCTGTATTGAAGACCTTCCAAAGTGTAGTATACCCCACAACCTAGGGTTTAGGGTTTAGGGTTTGTCTTATTGTTCAGACCCCTAAAATGGGTTTAGGAACCCCGGGACCCCACACTCTCCAGCCGGCCCTTAGCGAAACTCGACCCACGAGGAGGAGCGACTGAATGCCCAGAAGGAGGTGGGGAGGGCAGGGCGGTAGGGTTTCGGGCCCCCGAGTGGGCTTTCATGACGGGTTCTGCTAGTTTCTGACCAGACTCGGGTTTGGAGGCATATTACTAGGGTCCCTGATGCAGAATGGTTCCGGCTTGAGTGTCTGCGGCAGAAGGGGCAGCGCTTCTTGAGTACAGCCACAGCACAGAAGCCGTAAACGTTCTAATATAGAAGTTTGGATACACAAAACTCACAAAACTACTATTTTGTAAGATTGTTAATGCGATTAACTCTCGTAAAAAAGCCACCCTCCGAAATGACGTTCGATTCTTCTGTTCATGTGGGTGGTTGTCAAAATTATGGTCCCTTTTGGGGTCCCCAATATAGTACGGCACCTAATATTTATGGTACCCAAAAGGGACCCTAATTTTGAAAACCACCCTCATGAAGGGCACCATCTTGGGGTTAAACCCACCCTCATGAAGGGCACCATCTTGGGGTTAAACCCACCCTCATGAAGGGCACCATCTTGGGGTTAAAACCACCCTCATGAAGGGCACCATCTTGGGGTTTCGGGCTGCACCCAATCAGGCGCAGAAGCGCTTTGACGAGCAGAAGAAGAAGGAGGCGCGATCTCTGCGACAGGGGTCGTCTAGAGGTTCTTGAGTGCGTCTTTTAGTATCTCTAAGGATTTGTAAGACATGGATCGAGGGTTTTGGCTCCTTTAAGGGTTCCAATTGGGGTCTCTTCACGCGATATCATGGGGAACTATCAGGGTCGAGGGTACGGGAGTCTTTGACTCCTATGAGGTTTTCTTCAGGGGGTACTGGAGGCTTAGTTCCCCTGATGGCCTAAAACCCTACATCCTAAAACCTTTTTACTTAAAGGATCATGGGATTTAGTAAGTAGGGTTAGAATTAGGGTAACTATACTTATAACCCCAATTAAGGTACTTATAACCTTACTTACTAAGTCCCATGATCCTCCAAGTAGGCTGTCTTGGTTTAGGGTTCAGGGGTCTGGGGCTCCATGAGGGTTTCTGCCGGGGGCGCCCTGAAGGTTCAGGGTCTTTGGGCTTTGGGGTTTTTGTTTTGAGGCATTTGGGTTTTGGAGTGGTGGACTTTTCAGATTTTGGATGGTGGGGTTGAGGAGTTGGTCGGTGTTGGGGTGTAGGATTTGACGGTTGGGTCTACAATAATGAAATCGGGCATAAGGTATACAGCTGAGAAACTGAAAGGGTATGGAGCAGGCTTTGCCGGGTTTCGGGCATGGGGTCAGGATGCTGCAACAACGAAGCTTTTGAAGACCTTGGTAAATCAGTTGGCAAACTCTGAACTTTAGCCGGTACACCTCAAACACGAACCGTTCCAAGCCCATGAGGCCCTGAACGCTACGCCCTCCAACCTTGCCGTCTTGCCGCAATCCGCCAACCATACCACACTCGTTCCACTGGGACGAAACCCTGAGCGATACAAATGTTAAAACCTTTAACTTTACACCAGTGTGCAGTGAGGCTGCTTGAGGACAACGTGCCGCGGAAGTGCGAAGCTGATTCAAAACGATACATAGCATATGGGGCGTCTTTGAATATAATTTAAAAGGATTTGCTGGGACTCATAAAATGAGCGGATTTTGGGGAAACCTATTTAGACTAGATTGAATTTTTTATCATACTGATCTATCATCACAAGATGATACAACTCGGATTGAATATGAGTTACAAAAGTTCATGTATTTTAAACTACGCGAAAAATCAAACAAAGTTCTCAATAATTCTTTAGATTTATAGAACGAATCCTAACCTTCGTTTGTTGATCATAGATAAAGAGCGTATTTTAAAAGATAAAGATTCGAGATTTATTCTAAAATTAGTATGGCGTGCGTACGCACACGACCTAAATATATCTTTCATAATGAAGGAGGGGAATTAGGTGAAGATGGATTATTGGACGTAAAATAAAATCTATTAATATTAGTTATTTGATTGCTTAATATCGATTGGAAAACCGCGATAAAATTTTAGGTTCTTCTTTTAATTTGGAAGTAATTTTTTGGCTATTGCCAACTGACATGATATTTGACAGCTGAAACTTGACTTGCCATGGTTTACGACACCCTCTTGGGAGGATATTGTCAGCTGCCGCCCTCCGTGTGTGCTCCGCTGCCGTCGCGGGATAATAAGTCGGTGCAGAAAATCATGCCGCGGGATTTGTCGCGTACGCCGATGCTCTCCAGGCGGGCACGAACTGGAACGCCCGGCCGGATGACCCCACCTGCTCATGATGCACGGGAGCGCGCGAGCGCTGCTGCTACTGGTGCGTGTCATGCCAATCACGCTGTCGGGTCCTGTGGTGTTGATGGGTCCGCTATTTCAGATCTGGACGTTGCTAGTGGGCCCCCTGTGGCGAGCCTGACTGCCCTGTGTGTCCGATTTGCTTTTGTAGCGTGGGGGACGTGAGTGAACCTGTGTGGAGTTGGCCATGCCCGTGCCAGTTGAGATTGCACTTGAATTGTGCTGTTCAGTTGCGCCTCAGCAACAGCCACCCGTGTTGTCCCCACTGTCGGCGTAGGTGGCCAGGGCCCAATGCTGACTTGCAACTTGAAAACGCATGCCGCGCCAACGGTCTTGAAATTGTTCGTAATTGGTAGCGTGGTCCGTCTCAGGCACCTGTAATTGAGGAACCCGTCATGCCTCTTGAGCTGAATGACCTTGTCCTGTTATGTTGTGAGCGGCTCATCACGCTCGACATTGCTGCCAGGAGCCGTCGCATGGAATGGGCCCCGGAGCAGGTGTACGAGACTGTAGGGCATGGGTGTCGCAGGGTTGTGTCTTGGGTCGGCGACTGGGTGTGCAATTGTTGTGGTCGAACGTTTAGTCAGAGCGACGACATGTTGCAATTGCTTCGCGATGGGCACTCGTATGGCATGGGCGTGGGTTGTCGGTTGACTATTGATTTCCAGCAAGGTGTTTTCACATGGATGTGTGGGGAATCCGGTCCTTTGCCATCGCCTGCCGCGCTCCAGCTCAGTGAAGCTGTTGAGAGGGACGTTCAAAACCCACGTGACCAAACTGGGATTGCTGATACGGGGAGTTTTTTTACAGCATTGCCTCCGCTTGCGAATAGTGAGTCGACCAATTCCTTCCTGTATTGCCCCTTGTTGTTGCACGCAGCAGGTTTGTTACAACCTGACGCTGTGGAAGCATGGAGTGGAGCTGTGCCCTGGTTTGTTGATGCGTGCCAGCACCTGGCTATACATACGGTCAGCCTTACTTTCATTGCCCAAGCATATGAGGAGTTGTTGCAAATCTCTTGCCAGCATGATGTCTCCATGGTGCAGAATTTCAATCGCACTGGCGATGCTGCCGCTGCCCACCTTTTGCGTGAACTTAGTGTTGGACAAGAGGATATTGATGCAACGTTGGCCCTGATTATTCCGGGGGTCATAGGCAGGGATGGCCACATTCCGAATCAGCTTCAGGATTTCTTGTTGCAGGTGTTTGGCGGTTACACTTCGAATTTGGATGCTGCTGCAACGCACTTCCGAAACACTGGCGGTTGGCAGCGTGAACTCAACATTGCCAATAATGACGAGGCCGGTGCCGAAGTGTTGTATGGTCAGCCGTCAAATCCAGCCCGTACTTGTGCTTCTGTTGCCCCCCCTGCTGGTCCTGTGCCGGGTTGGCCCGGTCCAGGGCCTTGTTCCGATGCTGTGCCTCCGTCCCGTGCATCTTCTGAGCCACCGCCTGTTGCTCGTAATGCGCAAAACCCGATCTCTGCTAATGCTCACCCGCCCCTTGTCACCATTGAGTCTTTGCACCCACATGCTTGCTCGCGTCATACTTCTGCTCGGTGTGGCGCACAGCGACGTTGCTCTTTGTGCCATGCGCGAATCCAACGTGAGACCCAGTACTTCCGGTGTTCGCATTCATGTCGCTTTGTTGCTTGCCAATCTTGCTTTCGGGACCCTGCGGGTACGGCTGAACCCGCCGAGCTTCAGCCAAGGATCTTCGAGGCAGGTGGTGACAATGGTACACCTGCACGTGTCACGCCACAGCTGACTCATTTCACCAGGTTTTCATGTCTGTCACGGGATGTTTATGTCCAGCGGCTGCAATCCATGATCGATTCAGGCGCCTTTGATTCGATAGGTCGCCCGAACCTGCGCCTTGAAGGCCCAACGTCATGGGGAGTTTGGCTCCGAATACTCGATTCCGGTGGTGCCAGTGGGCGATGTGATCGTGTTGTATGTGGCGTACTGTTTCATGTTGCGCAGATGAAGGTTCATTTTCATGGTGAAGAGCAGCCCACTCGTGAGAGGTTGCTTCCACTCTTTGAATCATGGACGTATGTGTCTCTGGATTCTTGCCCTGAACGCCGACCTGGGGCACCGTTTGCTGTGCCCTCAAATGTTGCTTCGAACTTGGATTTTGGTGAAGCTACACAAGTAGTGGATTCATCCGCGGACTTGGAGCCAACAGTCGATGTTGATACGCTTGTTGATGCGCCTAGCGCTGCTGCTATCTCTCGTGGCGCCCCTCCTGGCAGCGTCAGAACGGTGTCAGCTGCAAACGGCGGAGCTGCCGCTGGTGCTGCCATCCCTTCACTTGAGTTGCAAAGTTTGTTGCAACTCTTAAACCAAATTGTGCAGCACCAGGCACAAATGCAGCAACAACTTTCCGATATTTGTGATAGCTTGGGACGTGGCTCCTCTTCCAGCGCGCGTGGACCCCATCAGGGTTCCTCCTCAGCTTGTGGTGAGCGTGTTGGCTCCAGTTGTGTTGCCACGTTGGGCCCGCAGTCTTGCCTTGAGCAGGCGTGTCCTGCCCGCCGTGAGGTTCAACGTGATCCATGCAGGCATGAGGATTGCGTTGATGCGGCTTCCCCTGGTTGCTTGGTTGGTTGCTGTTGTAACCATTGTTCTGATCGAAGTTGTGCTGTCCACATGGCTCGAAGCAGTTCTTCCCATCTTGAGCCCGCTGAGCGTGTGTGTAGGCGGTCGGGTTGTTCAGCTGGTGTTGTCAGGTCGTGTGTGACGGGATTTTGCACCAGTCATTGCACTAGTCGCCGTTGTGCCTGCCATGCATCTCAACAGCGGCGACCTGGTGGACAGGACAGCAGTCGTACTTGTCGGCGTGAGTCGTGCAACAATCTGGTTTCATCACGTTGTCGCACAGGTTTTTGCAGTAGGCATTGTTTGAGTGAGCGCTGCCAATGTCATTTTGACGGCCATCCGGAAGACGCTCCGCTTGTTGCTCCGCGTTTGCTCACTTGTAGGTTGGCTTCTTGCGACAATCACGTTCGGGAAGCTTGTCGCACAGGGTATTGTCGTGAGCATTGTCGTAGTCGCCGGTGCTCATGCCGCAATGTTGTGTCTGATCGCACTAGTGGGCCCCCTATACCTCCCCCTCCCCCTGCCCCACCACTTGTACCTGACACTTGCCGCGAGCCTTCATGCAGTGATCGAGCGCTGCGTGGTTGTGTGTCCCGTCTTTGTTCATATCATTGTGGTGCTCGCTCTTGCCGTTGTAGTGGCGCCTCTGTGCCCACGCCAAGTCGACATGTCGCAGGCGTTGAGCCTCTGCAGCGTTGTCGTCATGCGTCTTGTGATGCTCTTGTTGCCCCCGGGTGCCGTACTGGGTATTGCCAGTTGCATTGCACCAGTGCTCGGTGTGTTTGCAGTCGGGAGTTGTTGCCTCCTGCAGCGGCCCCAATGCCCCTTGCACCACGTTTGTGTCGTCGTCGGAGCTGTCGGAATAGGGTGGCGTCGTCTTGCAATTCTGGCTACTGTAGCTTGCATTGTCGTCAACCGTGTTGACGCTCTTCACGCAATATGCCTGCAGAAGTTGATCCGTTGCCAGAGTATTTGCGGGATGTTTGTGAAGCTTTGCCCCATGACTTGTCGGCACTGCCTGAAAACATCCGCGCCTCTGCAGAATCTCTGCGTGCCGCTGCGAATCAGGGAAACGCCAGCGGCCTCCGTCGTCATCGCCGGCGCGACGGGGGTCGACCCGCTTGAGCTTGGCGCTTCTAAACGCGAATCATCTTTGGTCGCCGAGCGGGGTTGAGCATGCTGGCTTTCATGGGTTGTCGAGTTTGTTAGAGTCGTGGTCTGTGGATTTGGTGTGCGTGCAAGAAACTCGGGCGCCAGATGGTGCGTCGCTTCCGATTGATCAGCCCTACAGCTATGATGGCCCCACGGGTCTGGGCGGTTGTGAAGCCGGCTTCCTCGTTCATTCTGCATCCGCTTCGTGGTCTGTCTCGTCTGCTGGGCTGTCTCCTCGTATCCGTTGGAGAGTCCTTGCGACATCACCTGATGAAGCAAAAATTCTGATATGCAGCTATTATGCTCCACATGTTGGGATGTCCATGCCTGAGCGTTTCGCCTTCTGGAATCATTTACGGGCATCCGTCCAGCACATCTTGCAGCTCTACCCTGGTGCACAGTTGCTTTTGGCAGGTGACGCCAATGTGTATTTGTCTGAAGTCATGGATGCGGGCAGGGAGCGCAGCTGCGAAACTC